ACTCTCTTTATCGATATATGTTTTAATATTTCATATTTTTATCCCTTTCCTTTTTGTTTCTTTTGGTTTATTTTCTTTAATTAAACCTTTATTCTTACAATATTCTTAACTTCTTTATTCTTCAATCTTACGAATTTGTTTAAATTACTTTCAATAAATACATCATTTTTTCTTTCAATTATTTTAGATTTTATTCTTTCTCTAATATAAGTTATTTTCCTCATTTTTTCTTCCTTTTTAGTGTCTTGGATTTTATTTCCATATATTTTGTTGTATTAAGGATGATGAAAAAATTAAGATAAGGAAATATGTAAAAAACAATCTTTTAAATAAAGAGAATAAAAAAAATACACAAATGACTCTTAATAGGAAGAATAACAATAATAATAATAATTAAAAAGAAACTAGAATAAAAAACATATATAATTAAAATATTTGAAAATTTGTGAAAATAAAAAAATTTAATAAATCATTTTTTTCCATTCTTACTTCATATTAAGTCTATTTCTAAAACAACTGACAGTTTCTTATTTCGAATTTTTATTAAATTTCAATCAAATGTCTAGTTTTCAGATATTTGATAAAATATAAGAAAATATGAAAATGCTACATCTATATCTTACCCCCACAAATTAGAGTTATTAATACTAGTTTAAAAAAAAGAATTAAATATCTTTTTGATAGATAAACAGTTAAATACTTTTAATTCTATGTTTTATTTTCACTATATTCTTTGTTCAATCATTTTATAATTCTAACAAAATGATAAACTCAAAATTTATCTTTTTCAAATAATTTTTTTAACTTTATCTTTTGAATCGAAAAGAGTTATGAAACAGGCAATTTTATGAAAAGAAGAAATAAGAAGAACTAAAAAATCAGAACCTCAAACCTATTATTATCCTATATGACTACTGCTTCTATTGACTTGTTTCAAAGATTATTTATCGGCGATGATGGCTATCAGTTAATGGTTGAAATTGCAAAGCAATTATCATGTGACTCTTTAGGAATGATTCAAGAGATTTTAACATTTTATGAAGCTCATAAACAAACACTCCATTTTTTAGATTATCTTATTCATCTAGAAATATCAAAATCAGAGAATGGTACAATGTTTAGAGGAAATTCTTTTTGTTCTAGATGTTTAACAGTATATACTTTAATGACAATGTCAAATCAATATGTTATCAGTTTTCTTGAAGAACCAATGACTAAAGTATTGAAAGGAGAATATAAAAATTTAGAAATAAATCCGGACTTTGCTATAGGACCAATTGATGAAAGTATTTTTAAATTGAAAGAAATAGTACAAATATTTATTACAAGAATAATAGATACAATAAATCTATGGCCTGAATCATATAGATATTTATGTTATTCTTTATACTCAGAATGTGAAAAAACGACTACTCTTCAACCACTACAATGTGTTAGTGGATTTTTAGTATTAAGAGTTATATGTCCTGCTATTATGCAACCACATAAAACAGGATTTTGTAATGAAAAACCAAATAATGATATTATGAGAGGATTAATTATGATTTGTAAAGTGATTCAAAATATTGCAAATGGTACTTTGCCTCATGAACCTTATATGAAATGTCTTAGTGAATTTATTAGTAAAGAAACTATAGCACTTCAATTTGCTTTAGAAAAAATAAGTTTAATTAGACCAACTAAATTTTCATTTGTTCCTGTAAAAGAAAAAGAATTAGAAAGTGCAATGAATTCAATAATTATTATCTGGAAAAATAATATAAAGAATGTTGATAATTATTTACAACAAAATTGTAGTAATGAATTTAAAGAACTTGCACATGCTGTTATTAAATATTCATCAAAAGGATATTTAAAAAGAAAACGTATTATGAACAAGAAAATGAAGGAAGATATTGCAATTAATCAATTATTTAATGAAGCAAAACAAGGAAGTGTTACTGAAGTACAAACTATTATTAAAAAATATCCTGAAATTATTGACTGTACTGACGTTGATATGATGACACCTTTACATTATGCATGTGTATTTAAAAATATTCCAGTTGCTTTATTCTTATATAACAAAGGTTCAAGTTTATACTTACAAGATGCAATGGGGTTTTCTGCCTTACATTATGCATGTCAAGCAAATTTAATTGACCTTTTAAATTTAATAAAAGAAAGTAATTTTGTAGATGTTGGAATGACTAATGAAGAAGGAAATTCTTGTTTGCATTATTTAGTTCAACACGAATTTACACAATTTCATTTTCAATTTCTTGATTATCTCACAAGTAAAGATGAAGCAATAATTAATATTCAAAATTATGCTGGTGATTCTCCTTTACATTATGCAGTTTGTATTGCTCTAAATAATATTGAGGCAGGAAGATCAACTATTTCTGCATTAATTCAACATGGGGCTGATTGTCATCTAAGGAATATGAAGGGAAAAACTCCAATGGACTTAGTGGAAGAAAAAGGAAGAACAGACCTTGAAATTGTTATGATGAGTGAAACTGTTGTTAAACCTTCAACCGTTTTACCTGAATCACCTTCTGATGATCAGTTCAGACTACGCTCAAACTCTGGAGGAAAGAAAACAACAAGAAGAAATTCATTATTACTTCATAGGTCCCCTGCTTCACCTCGTTTATTGGCTGCATATCAATCACGAGGTAGTCTTTCAAGAAAACAACCATTTGGAGGGAGTACATCATCTCCAGTTTTACTCAAATAGATTAAATGATTTTCACAAATATTATTTAATAGAACATCTATTCATCTTTGAATTTATTAAATTATCTTGTATTATATGTTTATTTGTTTTAAGCATGTGGGAATAAATAAGTTGTTTCGTTTCTTCGTTTTATTTCATCCATTCTTTTTAACAAGTTAATTTTAAATAGTGCTTCATCTCGATACAAGTTTGCCATTCCATCATAACAAAATGGAATTAATTCACCATAATCTTCTATTACTTTAAAGTGATATTTTATCTTTCTTAGTTTTGAATCAAAAAAGGTTGGATCATTAGAAATGTTAGTATCCATAATTTCTTTCCATACCCCAATAAGGTATTCTTCATCTTTTAAATACCATTTATCACCAAAAATTCTCCATGCATCTTCACTTTCTTTAAAAATTAAATGTGTTGCAATTTTATCTTTACGCTCTATCAACCATGATTGACCAATAAACCTTTCACTTTGATATGGAATATTAAATGTTTGGACTAATTTATAATCTTCAGAAATAACTTTTATATAATATAAGTCTCTATTAAAATATAATTCTAACTCATTCCATGACTTTTTTGTTATCATTTCTCTCTCTATTAAACATTTAACAATATTCTTATCACGATGATCAACATCAGATTGATCTCCACTAAATGCTGGAGAATTTAATAAATGACAACAAATACTTCCTAATATATCTCGATTAAATGGAAACTGTGATATTGAACTTAATTCATAATAATTCAACATACATCCAACTAACTGTTTAAAGAAATTTATTCTTCCATCTTCTAAAATATCATTTCTTTTACTTAATGTAAATTTAGCTAAATTAATAACGTACTCAGAAGTTTGGTAACTTCTATACAATTCTAATATTTTATTTGAACTATTAAATGTTTCATTGATAATACACTGACAACAATCCCCATTTTCTAATTGATAATACCATTGAGTTTGACACTGAATATATTTTTCTTCGTGATCATTTATTGAATTTACAAATAATGTTAAAGTTTGATCAGATGAATATGTAAATGATTTAGGTACCATTGACTGTACTTCAAACCCAGGTAGAATAGTTACAAGTCTTAAATTATACAAACGAGGACTTTGAATAACTTGAAGTATATCTTTTGGAAATTGAGTAAGTGTGTATTGGTCATATGCATAAAAATGACCATTAGAATCTTTTGAAAATACAACTGAAAGAGCAGCAGGGTTATCCATTTTAAATACAAATTGGTCTATTGAAGAAGAAGAATGATATAATTTTTTTCTATAATTTGATATGTCTTGAGGTAAATCAATAGCACACGATGTAAATAAACAAATATGACTGATAACAGAAGTACAAATATCAAGTAATAGAGGAGCTATTGTGGTGGAAGGAATTATATGATTAAATAAAGAATCAACGAATTGATCAGTCATTTCAGATGACTTAAATGAATAATTATTATGATTAATATTCCATTCATTTTCTGGTAAAATGAATTCTTTGTGTGGGGTTTTTAATATAGTCATATGGTCTGAGTGGAACACAATTACAATCTCTTTTGTAGGAAAAGATTGTCTGAGCAATTGAAGGAAATAAGTTATATAAATTTTATGACAATTCTCTGTATTAATAAAAATTAATAATGGGATAGGGTTTTTTTTCAAATGAAGAGATACATTAATCTCACGAGATTTTATTTCACATGAAGTACATATTGGACATCTATCAATATATTTTGCTTGACACTTAGGACAAACTTGAAAAGAAGAAGTACTAGGTTGTCTGAAAATAACATCAAAAGGAAAGGACAGAGCAGATGGCATACCAAAAACGTCTTGTACCCTTTCATTTCGAGGCAAAGAGATATCACAACTATCTTTCAATTTCTCCATGATATTCTGTTATTAAGTTTCATCTTTTTCTGGTCTAAAAATAATTCAAGATTCTTCTAAAAATAAAATTTTTTTAAAATTTATTTGAATGAAGAATAAACAAAAATTGAATCTGATATAACCACGTCATTTTTTGAAACGTTAATAAAGGAAAAGACTCCCTAAAAAAAAGAAAAGAACCGATGAAAATGCCTTCAAAGAAAAAGTTTTTTTAATTCAGAAAAGAGAAAAACAGATAATAATAAAAAGGATAATTCGAGAATTAATAAAAATAAAAACAATAACCTTCTATAGAGTTCTAAAAGAACGAATAAGCAGGGCTTTTAGATTATTTAAAGGAACTGAATTAGAAAAATAAATAAATAAATTGTTTTTATCAAAACAATGTCTACATTAGCTGAAAGAAGAAAACAATCTCCACGTGAAAAAAAGACGATTATTAGATATAAAAATTCTAGTTATAACAAAGAAACAATTGAAGGAGAAGGAAAAGCCTTAAAGGAAATTCCAGAAATTGCTTCTGTTATGAAAGGAATTAAGAAAGCAAGTGATATAGCACATTTAATTCATAAAGTTTTATTTGGTACACCAGGAAGTGTTGAAGAAAGAAAAAAAGATATTATGTCATTTAAAGGGTTAAAAGGAAATACTGAAGCTGAAACAATTGAACTATTAGAAAAGAAAAAACAGTATTTAGAAAAACAAAAATTTGTTGATTTAATTGAACTTTGCAGATTATTCTGCTTAGCTGGTGCATCTAAAGAAAAAACAAAAGAAAAGTATGCAGAAGAAATAGTTGAATTTTTAAAGAAACCAGGAGATGTTAAAGTTGTAGTTACTGAACGAGATAAAGTTGCTAATGTTGAAGAAGAAAGTGAAGAAGATAAAAAGAAGCCAATTAAAAAGCAAAGTACAAAAGAAAAGAAAGAAAAAAAAGTAGCTAAGAAAGATGATAAAAAATCGTTAAAAAAAGAAGTAGCTCAAAAAGAAACACAGAAAAGTTCTTCAAAAACAGAAAAAGAAGTTAAAAAACCAAAACTTACTAAAATAGAAAAGAAAAAAGCTACACCAAAAAAAGAGGCTAAAACAAAAGGAAAGAAATAAACAATCAAATTTATTCTTTATGTGTTTTATTTGTATTGATTTATTATTTTGTATAAGTTTAATTGAAAAAATTAAAAGTTAGTTATTGTTGTACTTTATTTTATTTATTTATTAAAAATAATTAAAAACGAGATCGAAGGTGGCACGTCTGAAACACCACACGCAAACATTAGTACAAATTCATACTTCGACTCTCCCAGTTATTATCTGGTTATGACGGTGCCTTTGAATTAGGAATGTATTAGGGAATGCTGCAAAGGGTGCAGCAAGAGAATACAGTAGAATATTACATGGATGTAATATAAGAATATACTGAAGTGTGGGTATGACTAAGAGAAGATTAGTCAAAGTAAGACTAAAAAGAAGATTAGTCAAAGTAATACAGTAGTAATAAAATGATTCCTTCTCCCATTCATAAAATAAGAAAAATGAAATTCCTGAAAATTAAGGCAGAAAACAAACAAAGGCTTAAAAAGAAGAAATAAGCAGAAGAAGTTTGAAAAACCTTAATAGGAAGAAATAAAACAAAGAAGTGCTTTCCTCATTTTGCAAGAAAAACATAAAGAATAGGTTTAACAAAGAGATTACTCTTTTTTAATAAGCTCAGGGATGGGATTAGTCTCCCCTGAGCTAGGAAGAATAGATGAAAAATCTATTAATACTTAATTAACTAATTTTTATTTTAAAAATAATTAAAAACTACTTGATAGAATGAAAACAAACTAATTAAAGGTAATTAGTTATTCATAACTAATAGAAACTTCTTAGTAAAACAAATAATAAAAATATTTTGAAGAATAATTGAAAAAGTTAAATAAAAGATAAAGTTGTAAATTAAAATAAAGAATGTATTAATCACGAGATATTAATTGAAAAAATGTTATTATAAAGTAAACAAAATTGTAAGATATTTAATAAATCAATTGAACAGTATGTTTCATATTTATTTAAAAAGATAATAAAAATAGAACAATTATCCATAATCATCAAATAAAAGAATCTGAGTTTTAAGAAATAAAAAATATAACAAAAAAGATTTAGATGAAATAATAAAATAAACTAGTAATTTATTAAATTAGAAAGTGTAACTACAAAAAGTAAAATAAAAAGAAAAAAACCGAAGGAAAGAAGAAGTAAACCGAAGAAGAATAGAGAAGATAACTAAAAAATGAACTGGAACAAATAAAAAATGATGAAAAAATATGCGTGTTTATGTGGAAATATTACTTTAAGAGTGAAAGAAGAATCTAAAAGTGTGAGTATTCCACTACCTTCTGAATGGGAATCTCCTATATTAGTAAATGAATGTAGTATTGATATGCAATATTTTCAAATGGTATCAATTCGTCAGACAAGTTGTTGTCTTGTTTATAAATGTTTAAATTGTGGAGATGATGTGTGTTGTATTAAAGGAAAAGAAGGAATAATTAATAGGAATTTAGAGCAAAATGAAGAAAGAAGAAAAGGATATTCTTTAAGTAAAACTTTTGGGATTTACATTAAGAACCGTACTAATATTGAGGAAAATGATGAAGGAAATGGGGTAAATAAATCAATTAAAATTGATGAACAATTAGATAAACAATTATTATTAAAAAAACAAAAGAAAATAGATGAATTATTTAAAATTAAAGAACAAAAAATTAGAGAATTTGTTTTAGAACAAGAAGATCTTTTTGATTGTCAAAGACAAACTATCCAAGAAGAATATAATAATATTGTTCATGACTTTACTGAATTTCATCCAACACCTAATGTTCATATACCAGAAAAAATAAAGCGTGTTCGTACTTGGCAATCTTTACACCCTTCGATGGAAAAAGAAGATGGAGAAGTTTTTGAGTTTGATGAAGAACAAAATGAAGAAATTACTGGGAATACAATTATAATGAAAAAAGAGTCATCTCCTATTCCTCTTAATGAAGAAGGAGAAGAAGGTATTGTTCTTGACGATATTGTTCCTTGTTGTAGTGTTCCTGTAAGACTACCTTCTGTTGGTTTTGATAACTTAGAAGTTCAAGGAAATACTTTTGAAGAATATACACATACTATAAAGGAAGAAATTCCTGTTTCTTCATTCAAACAACCTCCAAATGATTGTAATTGATTTTTCAAGAATTTTAACACTGTAATTAGATTTATTCTGTTTCAATAAAATGAAAAAATTGTCAAATGTACTATTTGTTTAACATTAATATATTTTTTTTTGTGATGGTATTGACCATCATGTATTTAAGTATTTAAAATGAAAAATATTAAAAATAATTCAATTCTAGAGAAAGTAATTAAGACTAGAATTGAAAAATTATTAAATTTTGATTATTTCCATATTTAAAATCTTATTAATAAGATACTTTTATATTGTTTGATTTAATACACATATAATTTACAATAAATTTCATCAACAAGTTATAATATAATAATTTATAAGATTACTAGTAATAGCAATGATGAATAATAATGAAGAATCAATAGAAATTTAATTATATTCTTTATTTTAATAATAATTAATAATAATCAATTTATAATTATAATGATAATATATATGAAATGAAACAATGATAATTTGATAAAATAAAAAGAATAATTTTATTGGATTTTCATTTATTTTTCATTTAAGTATATATATTATTTTATTATTTATTTCATTTCTTATTATTTTCATTTATTTACAATATGTAATTGTATCATTCTGATATATAATGACGATTTATATTTATTTATAATGTTTTATTCAACATAAAAACAAAATAATAAATAACAATAGAACAATTTCATAAATAATACACAATGAAATTATATATTTAATGATGATATTAATTAGCATTTAAAAGAATAAATAAATACATGATATGAAAAGAGAGAAAATGAAATAAAAATAAAAGAATGAAAAACTAAAATCTAAGAAAGAATAATATGCTATACTATAATAATATAATAAAAAGAAAAGAATATGAGAAAAAATGAAGAAAGAATAGAACAAAACCTAATAATATTATGAAATACATATTTTTTTACTAAATTTTAATAAATAACAATGAAAGAAATGAATAATAGAAATAAATGAATGAATTTTTATATTAGAATAGAGTAATGCTAATATAAATTACAATAATTAGTTAAGCCATAAGCTTGTTATTATAGTAAATGATATTTTCTAAAGTGATATTTTTAGTTATTATGAATGTTGTTAAGGCATTAAAAATTATTAAAATAATATTTTTATGTCATATAAACATCATCAGTTTTAGTTGTTAAAATTTTTAATAAATCTAATCGTTCACTACCCTTTATTTATTCTCATTTTAGTTAAAATGTAATAAATTGTTTTTTGTTGAATAAAAACTTCTATTTTTATTATCAATAAATCAAACTAATTAACATTCATTTAGATTAAAAAATATGTTTGGTTAAATAATAAACAAATGATCATAATGAAAACAATTAAAGGTTGAAAAGATATTTTATCTAACTCAAAAATACAAACAAAACTTCAATATTTTGTATAAATATTACTCAATAAAATAATATTCTTGAAATAAAATATGATTATGTATTAACAATTCAAAATTAAGGCAATTAGAAGATATTAAAAAAAGATAAATTAATATATAAGTCCCATCTATTTGTTTTTGTTTATTAATTAACAATGGTAAGCTATTTATTTTCTAACTAAAAAACCACTTGACAGTTATACTATTAAACTAACTTCAATAGATAAATTTTTATCTAACTCGAGTTTCACTAAAACAATTAAAAAGATGAATTTAAATATGAATCTCATTTAAAATAATATGTCTATATATCAGGGTATGTTTCTTAAAGACTTGGACTATTATTCCTTAAATTAATTATCCATTTTTATTAATTCTTTTTTATTTCATTTTTCTTTCCAAAACTTTTTAACTGACAAATCAAAAATAGTTTTTATTTTTGAATAAATATTTTAAACATGTAACAAACGAAAAAAAAGGAAAATTGAAATAAAATGATAAAAATTTTGAAGGATTCTATCATCATTATTATACAATGCATTAGTTAATACTATTCGTTCAAATAAATAAATTCTTTTTTATTTGTTTTTATTATTTAAAAAAATATAAGTCAAAGAAGTACCACTTTCATTTCTATCTAACTCATGACAAATATGAAAAATAAATTTTAGAGATGGGTTTGGGATATGTAAAATGAAAAAGAATTTTTTAAATAAATTGTTAAATTGTATGATTAAGAAAATTGTATTGTAGATTAAAAAAAAATTTTGTATTGAATAAAAGAAACAATACATAAAGAATGAAAATAAATCACTTAGAGAGAGTAGGGCATAGACAAAAATTTGTTAGTGCTAGTTTTTGAATATAGGGATCTCCACGTGGAACAACAATATCTTTTTGGTCTCGAACAAGAGAAAATAAATAAGAGTTTAATTTCTGACCAAGAAAAACTATTTCGTCGTAACCATACCATAACTTGTTGTAATAAAAGATTTGATGGATTCTCTCAACTTGAAAACATTTCTTTGATTTTTTTGATAATACTGAATTGAAGAAAAATCCATATTCAAGACAAATATCATAAAGAAAATTTAAAGTAAATGTTGAACGATTCTTAGAAAATCTTCTCATACGAGTTTTTTCAGAGACATTTTGAGTAGTTGATTGAAGAGCAAATAATTCACATTGTTGTTCTGCAAGTCTTCTAATTTCTATTTCTTCATAATCAAAATACAAACAAACTACTTCTGGTCTGCTTGTAATTGTAATTGACTGTTTAAATGGTTTTTGTAATTTGAATCCACAAAATGGATTTAAAATAGCTAGTAAAATAGCTTGTTCATAACATTCAAAATTTTTCATATCCTTTTCATTTTGAGAGTATCTCATAAGGTCTTCTTTTCTTCTAATATCTGTAGTACTAAAAGTTACTTGCTCAGAGTTGTTCATGAGTATCAAGTATTCAGTTATAGTTTTTCTTTAAGTACTGTGCCAAGAACTCACCCAAAAGAAAAAAAAATTCTTTCTGTATTTTTATTAAACTTTAATGGTTGAGATTAGTTAAAGTGGTGTATCAAGACCAGTTTTTCAAAAACCATAAGAATTTACTTCATTATTCCATTTCATCTAATCTAATTCTATATTTAGGTCTCTTTTTTAAACTAACCTTAAATTCATTTTGGTAAAGAAGGTGGAAAAATAATAAAAAAAAACAATATTGTTAAAAAAGATATATGAAATAAATATGCGTGGGGAAGAAGTTTGAAACAAGAATCGAGTTGTATTTTCAAAAAAGAATCAATTTTGCACAAGTATCAATTGATGGACGAAGGTTAGAATTTAAGTTAAGAAGCTTATTAAAGAAGTCATAAGTATTTTTAGTGTGGTACGGAATCGAAGAATCTATTAAAGACTGTGACACAGTTAATGTAGTTGGAATAGTTATTGAAGGATTCATTAAAATTTCATTTGCATCAAAAGAATAAGTAGAATTTATAAAGTCGAATATTGTTTTGTTGTTACTTAGTTGAAGAAATAACTTACCAGATATCATCTCAAAAAGAACACATCCAATAGAAAATACATCAATACTTTGTGGATTTACTAAAATATTTAAATCACCTTCAGGTGGACGATAATTTGGAGTTACACAATTTGCTTTAACTAATTCATTCGAATGGTAATGATAAGCGTTACCAAAATCAATCAACTGAATTTGTTGTTTATCTGTTAATAAAAAATTAGATGGTTTTATATCACGATGAACAATATGTAATGAATGAAGATATTTTAATACCTCAAAAAATTGATATTGAAGTGGAGTAATCCATGAAATTAATTCTTCAAATGATATTGTACTTGAATGTTTCTTTTTAATTTCTTTCTCTAAGTTATTTGGTATAAATGGCATAATAATGAATAATGTATTTTGTTCAACAATAAAATTTTTTATTTTAATAATTTTTTCATGTCGAAGTTGTTGAAGAAATTTAATTTCTCGAAAAGTTTGAAGTTTAAGTTCATTATTAGTACTTTGATTATTGAATTCTTTAACGGCTATAATCTCTCCATCTTCTGTTTGTGATTTATAAACTTTTCCAAAAGTACCACACCCAATTAATTGTCCATTCATTTTATTTTTTTTTCTTTTTTTTAGTTTTCTTTTTTTTGCAATCACATTTTTTTTTAAAAACAAAAATAATTATAATAAAATAATATAACCCTAATAAAATGTTATAGTTTAATAAAACATAATTAAAAAGAAATTTGTTATTAAAATAATATCATAAATAAAAAAAAAAGAAAAAATAAAAAATTCATCACTGATGATAAAAGAACTTTGAAATTTCAGATTAAAAAATGGAGTCTGGGTTATTTCCTTTGTTATATACTAAAAAAGAACCTAAAACAACTCTTATAGGATATCCTTTTTTTATTGTTTATATTATTGCTGCTGGACTTGGTATTTTTATTGAAGGGAGATTTGAAACAGCTTCTTTTGTGTTTTTATGTATTAGTGGATTAATTCATGTATTATTATATTTAAACACTGAGTGGTCACTTAACTTTAATGTAAAGATTAATTTTAATCCAGTTACATCAATGAGTGAAGCTACTCATGCTTTTTTCAAACATAAAACAGAAAAAGCATTATGTCCAATTGAAAAAGGAGTACATTACGCTTATGTTTATTTTAATTTTAAAAAATATATTTACAATACAGAAGATGGACTTTTTTATCCACTAGAATATCCAAATAAAATGACCTTAAAAGAGTATGGCTCTGCTGGTTGTTTAACAAAATCAAAAGCTAATGAAAAACATGAATATTATGGTTTAAATAAATGTTCAATACCAATTCCTACTTTTATGGATTTATATAAAGAACAAATTATGCAACCATTTTTCATATTTCAAGTTGTTTGTAGTATTTTATGGATGATGGATGATATGCCAATATTTGCCTTTATGATGTTAATTATGTTATTTATTTTTGAAGGAATGACAACATTCACCAGAATGAAAAATTATGGTAATTTTAAAGCTATGGCAGCAATGAAACCAACAACACATACTGTCTATAGAGATGGAATTAAAACACAAGTTGATTGTGATCATATATATCCTGGAGATTTATTAGTTATTACTACAGGAAAAGCTATTGCAGACTGTGTTATTATTAAAGGAATGTGTGTTGTAAATGAATCTATATTAACTGGTGAAAGTACTCCACATATGAGAGAAGCATTATCAACAATTATTGATCCAAATACAGAAAATGATGTTCTTGATTTAAATGTTCATAAACATCATATTATCTTTGGAGGAACTGAAGTACTTCAAGATGACCAATGTTTAGGATATGTTATTCATACAGGATTCAAAACTGCTCAAGGAGAGTTATTAAGAACTATTATTAGTTCAACTGAACGTAAAACAGCAAATAACTTAGAAAGTTTCGTAGTTATTTTATTTTTATTAGTCTTTGCATTGATAGCTGCTGGTTATGTATTTATTGATGGAATTAACAAAGGAAAATCATTTTGGAAATTAGTATTATCATGTGTTTTAATTATAACTAACGTTGTACCACCAGAATTACCTATGGAATTAACTAATGCTATTAATTATTCTTTAGTTTCATTGAAGAAACAATTTATCTTTTGTACTGAACCTTTTAGAATTCCATTTGCTGGAATTGTTGATATTTGTGCATTTGATAAAACAGGAACACTTACTTCTGATGAAGTATCTGTTGCAGGTATTGCTGGATTAAAAGATGATCCATTTAAATTAAGAAGTAGTATTGATGAAGTACCACAAGAAATTATTAATGTTATTGTTGCATGCAATTCGTTATCTAAAATGAAAGATGGAAGTGTTATAGGAGATCCAGCTGAAAAAGCAGCATTAGAATTTTCAAAATGGAATTTAACTTCTGATGGAAGATTTACTCCTTCAAAGAAAACTAATAAACAAATTCAACCAATACAACGATTCCCATTTTCTTCATTACTTAAAAGAATGTCAGTTGTTGTTGCTATTAAAGACTTTAATACTAATACTAAAACTATTATGGGATTTGTTAAAGGAGCTCCAGAAATATTAAAAGGAATGTTTAAAGAAATACCACATCATTATGATAATGTTAATAGATTTTTTACATTACAAGGAATGAGAGTATTGGCATTTGGCTATAAAGCTATTAAAAATGGAGAAAAAAATAAATATATTAGAGATGACATTGAATCTGATTTAGAATTTGGTGGATTTATTTTATTCTCATCACCAATTAAGAAAGAAAGTAATGAAACAATTAAGCAATTAAAAGAAAGTGGACATGATGTTGTTATGATTACTGGAGATTCTATATTTACTGCAGCCCATGTTGCTGAAGAATTAACAATTACTAGTAAAGATAAAGTAATGTTAATTAAAGAAAAAGAAGAATGGAAGTGGACAGACATGGAAGGTCTTGAAATTAGTCCATTTAATACAAAACAAGTAAGTTCAGAAGTTATAAATCGACATATATGTCTTAGTGGAGAAGCACTTTCTCATATAAAAGAAGAATGTTCAAAGGAAATTATTCAAACAATTTTATCAAAAACTAAAGTATATGCACGTGTTACACCTCAACAAAAAGAAGAAATTGTATTATTATTAAAAGAAATGGGTAATATAGTATTAATGTGTGGAGATGGAACAAATGATGTTGGAGCATTAAAACATGCAGATGTAGGTATTGCTGTTTTAAATACATTACCTAGTGAAAAAGAAAAGAAAGAAGCAGAAATGATAAAATTGGGAATTATTCCAATGCCTGCCAAACCTACTCCTAAACCTCTTACTCCTGAAGAAATTGAAAGAAGAAGAAGAATGACTCCTCAAGAAAGAAGTGAATTCTTAAAAAATGAATTAAGAAAAGCATTTGAAGGATTACCCGATGATGAATCAACTGTTGCCAAATTTGGAGATGCATCGATGGCTTCTCCATTTTCATGTAAATCAATTGAAGTTACACCAGTTTGTCAAATATTAAAACAAGGAAGATCTACATTAGTAACTACTCAACAAATGTTCAGAATATTAGCTTTAAATTGTTTAATTAGTGCATATGATTTGAGTGTATTAAAAATTGAAGGAGTTAAGAATGGTGATGTACAAATGACAGTCACAGGAATATTATTATCTATATGTTTCTTAATGTTATCAAATACTCAACCATTAGATAAACTTAGTAAACACCATCCAACAAAAACTATCTTTGCACCATTCCACGTGTTGTCTGTATTGTCACAAGCATTTATTCATTTTGTAGTTATTCAACTTGCATTAAAATGGGGTAAAGAAGCCGCTGGTCCTGATTATAAAATACCTGAAGAAGATGCTGAATTTAAACCAACATTAGTTAATAGTATTGTTTTCATTGTCTCTAATATTATTAATGTTACAACCTTTGCAGTCAATTATGTTGGAGAACCATATCGAAAGAATATTACCGAATATAAACCATTAATGTATTGCCTTCTAATAGTTTTTGGATTAACAATAATTCTTTCATTTGAAATTATACCAGAACTTAATGAATTATTCACATTAGTCTCATTCCCATCAGATGATTTAAAATATAGAATTATTGGATTGATTATTGCTGATATTGGATTGTCATTTGGAGTTGAGCGAATGTTAAGAATTTTGTGCAAATTCAATTAAATACTTTTCTAGAATTTTTATTGCATTAAAAAGGGTTGAATATTTTTTTAATAGAATTATTTTTTTAGAAAAAAAATTATAATTATAGTTTTAAAAATGAATTAAAAACCATATGATTTTATTGAACTATTTTTTGCCAATATTCATCGAAAATTATGACCTTTAATTCTATTGCGATAAAATTCAGTGAAAAAGCTTCTTATGCTTTTGATTTTTGCTTTAAATGGATTAAT